TTATGTTTTGATGTTGTGTTTTGATGTGTATATGTAGCTGTGTGTTCCTTGTTTTACACCATGTATTCTCCTTTTTATCGTGATCTCACTGTGAAGCACTTTGTGAATCCTTTCTGTGAAAAGTGCTATATAAATAAACTTTACTTACTTACTTACTTACACTGCTGTACTCTCTACACACACTCCTTCCCTAACCTGCTGAAGGTGAACACACACACTGCTGTACACTCTACACACACTCCTTCCCTAACCTGCTGAAGGTGAACACACACACTGCTGTACACTCTACACACACTCCTTCCCTAACCTGCTGAAGGTGAACACACACACTGCTGTACACTCTACACACACTCCTTCCCTAACCTGCTGAAGGTGAACACACACAGTGCTGTACTCTCTACACACACACACACACACACACACACATCTACTGCAGGATGGTGAAGAGAAGTGATGGATACTCAAGCTTCCTGTGTGTTCCTGCAGTTCTTGGCGTGGGACAGCCCGGCGGTGGTGGATGATTTTGTGGACCTGCTGCCCTCTCTGGTGACGGCTGGTACTGCAGTGGAGCTGCTGCACACTCTGCTGGACCTGCCCTGTCTGTCCGCCACGCTGGTGCTGCAAGTCAGGTGCACACACACACTTTAGATCAAAACTGTATGAATACAAATATATATATACAGCACCTAGTATACACACATGCAGCTTAGAGTGCTTCACATTCGCCACAGCTGACGTTAAATTGACCAGACTTCTTTCTGCGGATTGATATGACTGCACATGGTCCATTGATCACAGGGTCCTTAGCAACGGCCTGCTGTCGAGAAATAACAGATTGCTGAATGTTCCAAAAAGGACCAATCAGAATCCAGTATTGGGCAGTGTAGTGTAATCAAATAAAATAAACAACCAGTGTGAAAACCAACGATAAAAGCTTAAAAACGAAGGCTTCAAAATGACTCCTAATGAGATGCTAGCTTAAAAATAGTTTTCCTAAACTGTTTAAGATATGTCCATGTACTTCTTACCACTAATATGTAATATGGACTGCCTACCACTACATCAACTAGGATCTTATTTTGACCACTGTCTTACTGATTTCTTTTTGTTGTTTATGTGTCCGTGCAGGTCAACTTGTTTGCCCATCTCTGAGCAGAGTGGCCGTGGCCTCCTGTCACTCGATGCCTTTCGAAGCTCGTCTTTCAGAGGGCTTTTCCTCTTCCTGCTGAGAGGGGAAGCGGGCTCAGGTAACCAAATATCTTTCCTGATGTTTTGTGTTCATTATTGATCTTTCAAGGTGCTGTCTTGCTGTTTTACCCTTTCTTTATGCTAAGCTAGGCTAACTTAGTACTGTTAACTGTGTGTCTTTATTTTTGAATCACTTCTCTCTCTCTCTCCCTCCTCAGGAGACACAATCGACCGACTGAGCACGCTCCATGAGCTGCTGGTGGAGACTGCTGATTGGCCGAGAGTTGTTCAGTGTGCCCAGATTGTCCCTGTGCTGTTGCACATTTTTTTCAACACTGTTATTACGGTAAAGAAACTTCAACTACTGCACATACAGAACAGTTGAAAAGTATTAGAGCCCGCTATGATGTTAAATAAATGAGAGTTGTAAAAGAAAGTTAAGAAAAGGATGAACTTTCAGAATTCAGAATCAGAAATCCCTTATTTAAATGTACATGATTACAACAGCAGATTGTAAAAAATGATTAGTTGATTGGTGCCAGGTATAACAAAAAATACACCAAGAGGAGGATTTTATTTTTCTTGTTTTTGCATTTTAGAAAAAAGTACACATTTCAAGAACAAAGAAAAATAACTTCAAAATTCTAAGAATAAAAAAGATTCAAATAAAATAAAAATGTAGTTTCCCTCCTAATTTATTTTTCTTGAGCCTGACCCTAATACTCTCCAGAACATTAAGATAATGCATATTTAGTTTCGGCTTAAAACAATGTGTGTCTGTCTTTAGGTAGCAGATGAGAAGCTCTTAGCTCACCTGATCCTGGTGATGCTGGAGAGAAGCAGCCTCCTCCTCAACATCCCCAAATACAACAAAGAGATACACAGGTACACACACACACACACACACACACACACACACACACACACACACACACACACACACACACACACACACACACACACACATATTAAATATTGTGATATCCTGCTCTCTGTGTGTCTGCAGGGTGTTCAGCTCCCACCTGCTGAGGCTGTGTAAGCTGCACCCCTCTCTGGTCATGGATCAGTCCCACGAGCTGCTGGAGTTCTCTGGAGCCACGGCCAACGTGTACAGCAAGGAGGAAATCTACACTCATGTGGTAAATACACGAAGAAATAAAACACCAGGAGAAAAAACTAAAAGACAGATTCTATCCATCGTATTCCTAGTAGAGTAGCAGTAATGAAACAAATGATAAGGAACTGGTTAGGTGATAGGATCTTGTAAATGAATACTGTATGGAATGAAAACCATAACCATATGAAATTCAGTTCATATATTTGACATAAAAGGGAAGAATGGGAGAGGTATCCACAATACCCTACGGTTAGATAAAACAAGTAATGTATCAAATCTATTTTTATTCATATAGCCCAATATCAGAAAACACATTTGTCTCAGGGCTTTATAGACCAACACACATGGATTACAATGTACCAAAATACAAGACAATAACAATTATAAAAAATGTAAAATGAAATTGCTGACTTATAACATTTGTTAACTTTATCATATATATTATTCATCAATTTTACAATTTGTTTATTACATTTTTCTCACTCTTTAGGTGTGTATGCCTAGTTACCATATCATTTCTTAAAATGCAAAAACGGTGTGTCTACGTGCTACAGAGAAGAGGATCAAACTCTTCAAAATGTTTAATTTCTGTAGATCTTTGGATAAAAGCCTCAAGCTTTTCCCTCAGCATCCCTTCCCTGTGTGATAATAATCTTGTCAAATATCACATCATTCAGAAAACGTGCCAAAAAACATCCTTTAATGTGTTGTTCCTCCAGGTGTGGGTGCTGGGAGAATACCTCTCGGTGTCATGTGACTCCCGCTGCTCCGTGACGCTCATCACTTCCTGTTTCGAGGCGTTGGAGGCGGTGCTGTTTGAGATCACGTCCTCCGCCCCCCTGCCCGGCGCAGACTGCCCCGCCCCCAGAGTCGTCACCACTCTGATGAGCGCTCTGGCCAAGCTGGCGTCCCGATCACATGACCTCATACCCAGGTGACCGCCTCACACGCATGTTTGAACACCTCCATGATATATTTTAAGGTCTGTTCCATTCTCCTGGACACAAACACTGCCTTGATGGATTTAAAGGTGCCCTATCATACTGTTTTTCATCTATATATCACAGGTCTCAGATATATACAAAACCTGTCTCTGATTGGCTCCAAACACCAAACAGATCATTGCCGCATTACCCATAATCCCCTCTGTTTCAGCCCTGTTTCCAAAGTGCTGATTCTCTGTCTGTTACTTTAGATGAAAATAAGGAGCCACTCCCCACGCCCCTCTGATGCCCCTTTCACACCAACACGTTTTCAGCTCCGGCTCGGAGCTGGAGCCTGAAAAGTACGGTTTTTTCCTGTTCACACCGCAGCGGCTCCGTCTCTTAGCTCCGGAATCCGGTTCACTTCCAGCTCCAAAAAATTGTCGGTCTAGACTAGAGGCAAGAGCTTCGGAGCTAAGAGGCGGCGTCGCTTACGTTGAGGCGTGCAGGAAACTAAACCCACCTCCCCTGAACATGGGTCGACTGAAGAGTCTCGTCATGCCTGCCTACAAGCAATAGGGCTGAGCAAAGTGACTAGAAGGCAACCACACACTTATAAAAAAACACACACTTTATAAAGTCAGGCAACACTAACCAGGCTTCGTGTGATTCTGTTTATTTGTACCTTACTTTGACCATCCGTTCACTGTTATTGATCATTGTGGAGAGAGGCAGACGTTTTGTTTTGTATTATAGCAGCTATCAGATGGAATCAATACATGGGCTGCACAGGTTGTCATGTCCGACTATCACAAGTAGAATCATAATGAAAAATACGCCGGTAAAAAGTGCCTGTAGAAAACGGCTTATGCCACAANNNCAATATATTATAGGTCTCAGATATATGCAAATCATGTCTCTGAAGTGTTTGGCTCCAAACACCAAACAGATCATTGCAGCATTACCCATAATCCCCTCTGTTTCAGCCCTGTTTCCAAAGTGCTGATTCTCTGTCTGTTACTTTAGATGAAAATAAGGAGCCCCTCCCCACGCCCCTCTGAGAGAGATTTGGTTAAAAAGAACACAAAGGTGCTCCAGGAGGAGATTCAGGTGGTAAGGTGGGAGGGGGTTACCTTGGTTGGTGATTGGCTAATGGTTACACAAGCCAAAAAAACATTGTGACATCACAAAGTGGCCAAAATCTGATCAGCTCATTTTCAGACAGGTTCTACTTTTTATATAAATGGATCAGGACAAAAAAAGAGCAAATCTTTCTTCCTGAAACTTTCAGAATCTCTTTACACAAAGGGGACACATGTTGATGTATAAAAGATGGATTTTGCATAATAGGTGACCTTTAAATCAGAACGTGCACGTGGGATATCCCAGGTGTTCATCTGGGGTTTCTTACCGTCAGCTTCTTCCTCCTCACATAGGACTCCCAGGGCTGTGGCTCCAGGATGAACATGCCCCCCGGACGGAGGTGTCTGTAGACCCTCTTGAACAGCCGCTTGAGGCCTCCGTCCCCCCAGTTCAGGTGAACCCATTTGGTGACGCTCAGGCACATGATCACGTCGTACTCCGGCCGCTGAGTCAAGAGAAGATTGTCGTTCTCCAGTACGTAATTGGCCTGAAGGAGAGAAGAGATGCGGTGAGAAAAACATGGCTGTGGTTAAACGGTTTTTGTGGTGGTAATAAAAAAAACTTCTCTGAGACAAACACACAAGTAATATAGCATGAACATGTGCAATGATTAACTGTTAATAAAGGTTTACCAAAGTCATCTGAATGCAATTGTTATCCTCTCTTATACGCTATGATACAATAGGCCCAATGATTTATAAAGTCATTATTTCTTTATATAATAAATTGACTTTGGAAAAAATATCATTAATTATAGTTATAGTTAACGATAATAATAAGTAAATCTCATTATGATTTCATAATCTGTCAACAGTAAAATTACAATTAACTTTATTAATGATGGTAATTTTAAAGTGTTGCTGTGATACTGAATGCCTTATTAAGAGTGATCTTCTAATAAAAGGCATAAACAAAGGCAGGAGCTCAGAGGGAGAATAACCAACACATTTGACAGCTGCTCGGTGAAGAATAATCTGAAAGCTAGTGTGCGGAGAAGCCCAGAAAAGGATTTGTTTTAATAATTGCTTTGTCCCTTCAAGTCATTTGTCAAGTAAAAACAGCTGACTCCAGCTGGATGGGAAAACAGCACAGAAGAAAAGAGTTGATGGGAAACAGGAGGAGTGTGTTATTTGATCTGGATCACCATTTAAACAGAAGACAACTAGAAAGTGATTATCACAATACTCCTTTTCCACAGGAGACAACAGAATAAGACACGGGCACGTCTAATAGCTGGGGTTTGGCTTATCACACATTGAAGTCATGTTCAAAAGGGCTGAGTTATTCTTAACTCCAAGTCACTGAAATAACCTTTTGTAATAACTTCGATGAGAATTTAGCTTTAAGAGGTAAAAAAAACACCTGCTGTTTTTAATTAAAATATGCTACCTCAAAGTGCTCCCGACTTGAGAGGGGGGGGGACTCAGGGCCTCGTCTTGAGGCTTTCCACTCATTCTTACAGGATAAGCTCTGTGCTGCTGCACTGCCATTATCTCTAATGCCTCGTAGCAGGGAGGAGGCACTTATCGATTTCCTTCAGAAACACCACGGGTTCTCTATCTAACCTATTCATGTTACTGCCTACGTAGAAACCTCCCAGGCACAAGGCCGCCGGCGTGAAGAAAGCTTGATTAGAACAATAACATATTTAAAAGAGAAAAGCTATCGTAACAATTTGTCACATTCTCCAACACGGGATGGACTGATATGCCAATGCCATTTGAAAAAGGTAAGAAGACAGTCTGATTCCTCTTTCCTGCTTTCAGTTCTCAAAATCGCTGGCAGCCTCAGGGAATAGTGATTATGAAAACACACCCAAAGCTGTGCAACACAAACAAAAACACAAGTGCACACCAGCGGTAATTAATTCCCTTAATACTCCGTCTTACTGAAGTGATTCAGAGAAACTATGTGAGGCAGATGCTTCCTTATAAAACGATCCAACTATAAAAGATTATGGCTAACATAACTGTTTTTTTAAAGAGGGGAGAAAGATCCACTGCAAGTGTTTTATTTACTTACCTCTTGAGGCCTTACAAAAATAATTAAAAAAAGAAAAAGTTCACTCACTTTGAATATTAATGTATACTCATTTACAAAATTACATATTTAACATCCAAAACTGCTATTCATTTTTCTGGTATGTTAATGTGCATCTTGTACAGAAAAGCTATGTGGTGACATCTGCATGCTATAATGTGCTGTGACAATGCTAACCGTTGTCTTGAGGCAAGACCATTATCCTCAGGTTCAACATCTCCTAATTCATTATTTTGGTGTGTTTTAAGATATTTGACAATGGACTAGGGCAAGCTTTTTGACATCGTGCTGCTATCATGATGCAGACATATCGCGAGCGGTGCCTAAACCTGAAATACCGGATGTTAATTTGACCTTCATCTAAACTCCCAAAATGCAAAAAGGTTCCCATGTGACTCACCTTGACAAAGGACACATTTGAGGGGAACTCCCCGGGCCGGGTGGTGGAGGATTCTGTCAGAGGAGGTGCAGCGATGGGCCCCCTGGTGATCCGCAGGGACACAGGGAAAGAGCAGCTCACCGAGTGATCAGCGGGGGACGGATCACAATCTTCCTGGTCCATTTCCTCTGTTTTGCCGCCCTGCCTCTGGGTCCCTGCCTCATCTGTGCGACAGGAGCCATTGTCACTTGCAGCCTCTGCAGGGCCACTTTGTCCTTTCGCTGGCTTCCCGTTTTCCTCCCTGCCTTCAGCTTCATTGTGCTTCTTCTCAGAGCCTGTGAGACTCTCTTTCCCATTCCTCTCCTCCTGCTTAGTGCTCTTTTTCTCCTGCGTTGCATGCCTGGCCTCTTGGGTCTGCATCTCAGACAGATAATGTCTGATGTTCTTCCGGGCTGCATGTACCAGTCCATTGTCAATGTCCACGCCCAATATTCGGGCAGGTCTTAGCATTTTGGCAATATAGAGTGTAAGATGGCCTGAGTTGCAACCCAAATCCAGAACCTCTTTACCTTCAAACCACTCTGGGCGAAGCACCCGTACCCGGATGTCTTCGCTGGCGCCTGGGTTGCGGTAGCCATAATACTTGTTGTAGTTCCCATACTGGAACTTCTTCTTTTGTTGCTCCTTCGCCTGGTTGTGAGGCTGCTGGTGCTGGCGACCTCCTGGCCCTGGTTTTGCCCCACTCCTTGGTGTGTGGAAGGATTGGGGATTTCTCGACCCCCCCGTTCCACAACTTCTGTCTCCAGATCCTGACTTTCCAAGGGGGGTAGAATGAGTCACAGGGGCCTCCATTTTGCCAGAGGTGCGCCTGCGTTTGCGTCTGCTCGTGTGCTGGTTCGGTGCCCCTGATAAGGCGGATGTGCAATCCTCTAAAGATACAGATGTCATCTCCTCCTTGCTGCTGGCAGAGATGTCAGCTGACTGCTCGTGTGAATCCTCGGGGACACTAGAGAAACTGTTGGACTCTTTGGAGACATCTGGTGCAGAACATGTGGCTAACGTACCTGGCAGCGGGGCTGCTGAGGTGGCCGTTTTAACCTCACTTTTTCCTGATTCTGAGAGGTTAACCTGTGTGGTTGCAATCCCACTAGCAGCTCCCACACCTCCAACTCCTCCTCCTCCTCCATGGTGTCTGTTGCGGTGTCTCTTCCTGCCACCAATCCTGAAGGGGGACACCAAAACACTGCCTTCTGCTAGCCCGCTTTTCAGGTTCAGAGGATCTGTGATGTCTCTGGGGATGAGGATCTCCACGGGATCTCTACTCTTCGCAGGCAGCGGGGAAGATTTGGGCGTCTCTGCATTCAGGGCCCTGTTGACCTCCTCATCGAGCAGGCTGTTCAGATTCAGTGGGTCGAAAATGTTCCCACCCAGGAGGAAGTTGGTAGGCAGGACGGAGTCACTCTCAGAATTGGCCCTCCGTCTCCTCTTGCCAGATGTCGGATGCTTGAAACTAGAGGCCGCTGTGTTGCGGCGCTTTGTTAGTTTTGTTTGTTGCGGTTGTTTGGAATGATGAAAGCTGTTCCTGGGATTTATGTTATTCTCGTTAGCTCTCGCTCCCTGTCCAGCATCGTCAGATTGGGAGAGCGCTTCAGTCACGATGGTGTGTTTTGTTGAGGCTTCAGTGTCTGAGACTGGACAAGCAGCTGCAAAATCAGGAGTGGCTGCGGTACCCTCCACCATGACAGAAATGTTGCTGTAACCTCCAGTACATTCTGAGAGCTGCAGAGCTGAAGTAGAGCTGGCCTGTGGACTGCCCGTTTTTACAGTATCCTCATCAACAGACATCTCTTTTGGTTTTCAGGGCTGGTGCAGACATGGAATTTCTTCTGGATCTGAAAGACACAGAAAACACAAATAACAATTTTTATTTAAGCTGAACAAGTTTGAAAAAATATGTAACGATAATTATGTTAACATATATGGCAATATGATTCACAATATTGTGGGGATAATCATGTATTAAGGTTTACCTTTATTGAAAATATATTTAAATTATTATGATTTTTATCATTTTCTGAAGTCTTTTGAAGAGACCCTAAAGAATGAGTAAATATGGTATTCAGACACATGCTTAACAAACATTGAACTAGTACATATTGGGATTTTGATAAAAACGATATCAAAAATTATTTCCCTAAAAAATGAATAGTTATGTAGTTAATATCATATGAAGATACAAAAAAATAAAAGTAATATTTTTGTGAAGTAACGGTTAGATTTGCCTGTTGACAAAACAAAAATGGAGCATATTAGCCAATGTATGGCTGCTCCAGAATCCTTCCAGACCCAGAGTGTGTAATACTTTAAATTAACACACATGGCAAACAATGCATCAATCTATTTTATGGTATTTATCTACATTGCATAAGCTGTACTTGGGTGCTTTAGGCTGGAGGAACCCAATACATATCAAAATATTGATTTATTTTAAAAACAAGTAATTCAATACAGAAAACAATGATATGAAGTTATTAAAAAGAGGTTGGTTGACTAAGTCATAGAATAAACCGTCCGTAAGATATGACAAAACGTGTTTGAGGGTTAAAGTACAGTGAACAATGAGGTGCATCCTTATCGCTATATTCACACATTTAAATACATTCTATTAGGCACACACTTAACTGCGTTATAAAGTCCCTTATATCGACAAACTACAAAATTATACTTCTGAAATTCTCAAACTTAAGTCCAAGGACCTGAAAGTCATGAGGGTCAGTTTAAGAGCAAGCCTTGGCCAATCATTATGTGTTTTACAGAAGAGGATGTACCAGATCAGGTGATCCTCTACTTTCCACTGTCATTTTCTATCATGTCACAATAACAACAAATGTCTCCATATTAAGATGGAGGGTTTCTGGTAGTACGCCATTATTAGATTGCTATCTGACATGTGAAGCTATGTCTAAGCAGGGGGTTACTGACCAGAAAAGTTGAGGAGTCCCAGTGTTGAACAGTTATCTGGTTAGCAGGCTAGCTCCTAGCTTGGGCCAGGAGACTGAAACGTCGACTAAACGTGCAGCTCTACTCCGAACAAACAGCCCTTACTACACACACAGTCAAGCACCCACCTCGATATGCTGCCGTCTAAACCCCTCCTGAAATCGTGGTTAAAATAGCAGAAAGTGGCACTATCTACCAGATGGCGTGCAGTCAACAGTGTAGAGAGAATCAAAGTAACAGTCTCACCTCTCGGTGCTCCCCGCCTCCGGCCGGACTGTCACTGCCGCGCACTCTCTGATGCTAACGTTAGCAGCTAGCTCCAAGAGTCCAACATCAACACACCCGTGGCAGGCGACGCGAACACGCCAGTAAACACAGCGAAGCGGTCCTCCTGCAAGTCTGTCCGCGGATAAGCCTGCTCTGCCCTCCAAAGTGTCCTGTCGACTTCTTCGGTGAACTCCCACTCGCCCAGTGTCGGTCAGGTTGGTGAATACATTACTCCGCTCGCTGATAGAGTCGGCATGGCGGCGCATCCGGGCTCCGAGCTGTAGTCAAGATGACTGAGAGTGGGGCGGAGATCCGAGGCTGGGAGTAGAGCTCCTTCTCTGGGATATTATAATGAGCCTGATCCTCATGTTGGTGAACTGCAGGGCTTCCACTAGTCACTATCTCCCTTATCGATAATAGGTCATTTATTGTTAAAATCATACATTGTGCAAAGCAGAGATGTTACTGTGAATGTTTAGCACTTTTCTTGGAGGTTGAACCTTAACATTGATGACACTTAATTGTAGGTCGATCGATTTATCGACTAATCGTTCAGACCTAGCATCACAAACATATATCAATATATTTTGAACTCATGTAGACTAGTTATTACTCTGCATATATAAGCATACCGTTTTTTTTACATTTCAGGTACAAAATGATTTACAATAAAGAATCTTTTCACTATGTTCTTAAAACCATATGGCAAGACCTGTATGCATGCATGCTATGTAGTCCAAGTCCTTCTCAGAGTTTTACAAAATACAGCTTTTTCATCACATAATACTAATAATACTGATTTATTTTTAAGAACTTGAATGTAATTAGATGTTCCACAACAGTTGCTAGTGCTCATTGACAAAGTTAAAACATATTTATTTAGCAGTGCCTTTAACTCTTTTATCTCGTCCACTTCTTATTGCCTCCTATTTTTGTTATATATTATTATTATACAATAATATTGACTCTTTGGTTATTATTGTCATTCTTCGCCATATTGAAATGCACCTAGGTCTTTTGGGAATAGTTTAAAGGGGACCTATCATGCAAAATGCACTTTTGTACGTCTTTTCCTCCATACCCAGATAATCTCTAAAAACAGGGCTGCAACGGAGCTGATTATTATTTGAATTTGCCTCGAAAGCGCTGGAGACGCTGTAGTACATATGCCAGGCCTGTAAGTGGCGTTGTAGTCTGCCACAAAAGCAGAATCAGCCCTTGCAAAAACAGGGCTGTAAAAGAGCAAATAGAGCGAAATGAGGCATGGCTAAAATGCATGATCTGTTTGGTATTTTGAAACTTCACAGAAATGTTTTATATTAGGTATGGCCCTACAATATATGTTTCAAATATAGCATGATAGGTCCACTTTAATTTTTATTTGAGTCAATGTGCAGAATTTATTAAGGCCCATTATTAGATGTCCGGAGTGCATTTTAAGAGCAGCCATAACAAAAGAGAAATATCACAACCTCTTGCAGTTCTATAAGGGAGGCTAAATCTGAAAATATATCTTCATATATTTCACACTCTTGTCTTCTCTCTTCACATATGGAGGAGTGACTGTGGATTAAACCCAAAGATCATAAGGTAAGGTTGCACACAGTAGTATTGACACATTTTGGGTGTTGCAATGTGCCAGTTTAAAGCTAAAAAAACGAATGGGTTACCCTGTTTACCACAGTATGACAGCCATGGCTACAATCCAAAAACCGTTTGTTGGCTCTTTGGACGACATGGATGACATCTTTAAAGTCAACTTCAAGGCCCAACCTCCAAGGTAGACCCGATTCTATCATTACTCCCCTGACCAGTGTCTGGACTAAGCCTGAAATAATAGCTTTGGTTGTGTAGTAATGGGCTATTTTGATAAAGTACCAGGATCGCCTCTTGACACGTCCATCTCCACATAATTGGGGTCGATCACCACAACATTGCAGCTGTTGAAAGTGCTTGATAAAGGCCAATATTGAAGACACAGATTGGTCCTTGTTTGAAGAAGCAAATTGGCCAGTGTTTCTCAAGCCGAAACCAATTCTCCAGATGACTAAGAGCTTATATTTGATCCGCCTGTTGTCTGAATCTGATTTGTGCTGTGAATGTTAACCTCCTGGTGGAGCGTTTTATCATTAATGGTTCAAAGAAATACAATTGTACACACATGTATGTTTCATGCTTTATGCAGAATTACTACTTACAACAATGGAGTCCAAACTACTTCTATGATCCCGTGCTAATAATCACATTTCTTTCGAGAAAATACATCAGTATATTTTAACTCTAGGATCTATATTCTTTGGTATATATATAGAAAATATTCATGGGGTACTTTACTGATCCTTTGTTGCTAAGTATGGCTTATTAGGTTTTTACGAGGAGAACTGCTGAAGGTTTGCAAATGATCACTTGCTACTAGGAATGTTGTGTCCATTTACAGTGCATCCGGAAAGTATTCATACCCCGTCACTTTTTCCACATTTTGTTATGTTACATTCATATTTCAAAATGGATTAAATAATTTTTTCCTCAACATTCGAGACACAATACCCCATAATGACCATGTGGAAAAAGTTTTAAAATATTTTTGTAAATGACTTAAAAATAAAGCACTCAAATATCACATAAACACAAGTATTCACACCCTTTACTCAATACTTTGTTGAAGCACCTTTTGCAGCAATTACAGCCTCAAGTCTTCTTGAGTATGATGCTACAAGCTTGACACACCTTTCTTTGGGCAGTTTCTCCCATTCTTCTTTGCAGATTGTCTCAAGCTCCATCAGGTTGGATGGGGAGCGTCGGTGCACAGCCATTTTCAGATGTCTCCAGAGACGTTCAATCGGGGTAAAGTCTGGGCTCTGGCTGGGCCACTCAAGGACATTCACAGACTTGTCCTGAAGCCGCTCCTTTGTTATCGTGGCTGTGTGCTTAGGGTCCTTTAAAGGGGAACCTTTGCCCCAGTCTGAGGTCCAGAGCGCTCTCGAGCATCTTTTCAACCTCATGACTTGGTTTGTGCTCTGATATGCACTGTCAACGGTGGGACCTCATATACACAGCTGTGTTCTTTTCTAAGTCGTGTCCAATCAATTTAATTTACCACAAGTGGACTCCAATCAAGCAATAGAAACATTTCAAGGATGATCAATGGAAACGGGATGCACTTGAGCTCAATTTTCAGTGTCAAAGCAAAGGGTGTGAATACTTATGTACATGTGATATCTAATTTAATAATTTTTAACACGTTTGCAATAATTCTTTAAAAACGTTTTTGCTTTGTCATTATTGGGTATTGTGTGTGGGATATTGAGAACAAAAATGAATTTAATCCATTTAGAAATAAGGCTGTAACATAACAAAATGTGAAAAAAGTTAAGGGGTATGAATACTTTTCTGTGGAAACACATACAATAATTTCCAGACCTGTATAACTTTAGTAGTAGTTTATTAGAATAAAACACATTGCAAAACTCCAACATCCCATGTATGGCTATACTGTAAAGTGGAACATCAGGGGGGAGGCCATGAATATATGAAAAAAAGCATGATATGTTGGAGACGAGACATGATTCATAGTTCATGTTCAGTTATGTCATGAATACAACATTTGCTTAAAGGTAGGGTAGGTAAGAATGAAGAAACCAGCTCGAGTAAGCTAGAATTTGCAAGTACACAACCGAAAACAATCTGCCCCTTCCTTCAGACTTCCTTACAGAGCCCTTCCTCCAACACACACAAACTCGCACATGACCAATGAGGGCACGAGATAAGTTTGTGCACGAGGTGGAAGGCTGACAGGCAGTTAGGCCATCCAGTTATCTGCCGCGGGCCGAGGCAGATAATTGGACTTGCTTTTTACAGCACCACGGCTTCCACAGATGAAATATTTGTATATATTTATTGTCAAAGCATTTCATTTATTCATTGCTATCGGGATGTTAAGAGCATTCCATGGAATATAACAAAAAGTGTTTCTGAAGTGAATTACCTACCCTACCTTTAAGTATGTTGCGGTAATGATTAAAGAAACGCCTCTCCAATTATAATCAAATGCCTCTTTAATAACAAACACAGCCTATTCAGTGATTGGCAAACTCCTCTTGGGGAAAAGGCCACAATTAACCAATAAATCAAATAAAGCCTGGGAGTGTTAGGTTATCAAGCAAAGATAATTGGTATGAATGGAGGTAATGGAAAAGTGCACAAAATCACCCTCAACCAGAAAAGTACAATGTCAAAAAGAGTCTCATTAGGAGCTAGCTGAAATTATAACTGAAATGACGTTTGCATTAAGTCAAGAAAGGACCAGTGAGCCTGAGGTGTGCAATTGTCTACCTTCCTTCTAATGAGCAGTAAGAAAATATGCAATCTCCCTCTGATTGGCCAACAGGGGACATTCTCCAAGCTGCTCTCGATTCTTAATTATGAACCAGTCCTCACACTCTACCTCAGGTGATCTGAATAACCCCCCTATCAACTCATTGGGAAATGTGACTTTCATCTGAAATAATTTGGCTAAAGTGACAACAAGTACCAAAGACTGAGGGACTGCCACAAGTACACGTCTGATAAGTCAGTCAGCACTTAACCTCCATTTTGATCTGTGTTTAGACAGACAGAAATATGAACACCTGGCACATTTCTCAATATGGCTTAATTGGTAGGTACTGCTACATTGAGAGTAATGTTAGACAATACCGTCACAGCTTGTAATTAAGCTTCTTTGTTAATGTGGGACACAACTGTAAAGAGAAATTGTGCAGAAGGTGGTCAACGGCCAGTACTGACACCTGGATTTCCTGGATATTCTAGTTGTCCTCCAAATAACCACTAGAGGGAGACAAAATATGAGCTTAAGAAAATGCTGCACACCATAGTCTGTATTATTCTACAGAATTGCCCCTTAACAGTATATTTATTTATCTCTTTCTCTTTATTTGTTTCTGTTGGTGGCAATAAGGATGATTTAATTACTTCAGTGCTGCAAATGTTTAACCTAAAGCAACTCAGCTTTCCCAAGGAGTTGGTTTATTTTGCAATAGACAAGATTTCTCTCTTGGTTGTTGTGTGATCATGAGAGGTCCTCACATGGTGTTTGGTATGACTGATGGTCAAAACAACAGAGTGGCCTCATTCCTCCCATAGAGAGACTCCAGCTCTACCATCTGCAGCTGTAGCAACAGGAGAGTTTATGTTTTTTAGGTAAACGTTGCCTCTAGTGGAAATAAATGAAAACACTACCAGCCAGTTTCTCTATTGATACTAGTGGCTGGAATTTTGGCTTTCTCTAAATCATCAGGGGCTCATGATGACTGGCAACTGAGAAATAGTTCAGGTCCAAAAATATTGATGATATTATTTGGTATTAGTTGTGATGCTTAATACATTTTGTCTTCTCACACATATATTCCCAACATGTGTAAATACAATACACTATACTGCTGCTTTTACTCTAGCGTTAACTAAAGTTGGTATGGCCAGATTCAGATGTATTTTTTTGAAACACCCAGTATGTATATCCACTTAAATTTGAGATTTATGCAGATTAAAAACATTTTACTGATTTATCCACCTGCTGGCATTTAATCTTAAGTCTTAATAAAAAAATGAGCCATCATACGACATATACACACAAAAAACAAATCATAAATCCTGCTAAAGAACAGAAGCAGAAACATAAGGCAATATTTCTCTGATTAAAAACTGTCAAATGTGTAATTTTGTAATAAAATATAAAATGGAGTCAGTTACCCCTGGAAACTAATATTTCACGTGCAAAATGATGTCTTTCTAAATAAGAAATGAACTGGAAGAAATGCTGAATTTTTTATGTAACCGTAGACAGGACTCTTTTTTTTCTCCGGACAGGATCCTCACATTTGATATTCTCTGCTGTTGAGTTGACAGCTTGCTCCTAATTGGGTTCTAAATCAGCGCCACAGACTCTCCCCCTTTATAATCTCTGAGGAAGGGGAAAACGAAGAGAGGGTACCTGTCCCCCCCCTCCTCTGCCCCTCTCTTTTCTCATGTTAATGGCGGTGTGGTCCTCGATCCCGGGCACCATCTGCCCTTCCTCAGGGTTTGGGCCCCAAGCACTCCAGACGTGTCCTTTTGTTTGCGTGTGTCCAAGCAGAAAGTGGTGAGTACACATGGTTCCTGTGGCCCAAAAGGCTCCTCCATCAAGAGCACGAGCCTGCTGTTCATTAGCCTACATCTGACAGAGGGGGGGGGCGCGTCGCGTGCCCTGTGTGCAGCAGCAGCATCAGGGGGGTCCGCCGTTTGTTCCGCTGTGAGTGTTGTTCACATTTTATGTGTGATGTCATCGTAAGTAACCGTCGCTGAGGGATGACTCGACAGGTCAACATGCTCTTCAGACTGTAGACTGTGATAACACTCCAACCACATAAATGCCTGAAAATAAAAATTATTTTTTAAATATTATAAAAAATCTGATCTCAATTTAAAATAGGTGTAACAACCATTAAAGTTAATGCTTAAGTCGAAAGTAATATTTTATGATTTTTGAGTCAAACTCACCCAGATTGTGATGCTATTGGACCGTTATTAGGCATTAAATACTATTATAGCAAACTATAACTAAGTTAAAGGAATGACTAAAAGGAAAACGCCGTGTGAAATGTTTTTTATGAAAACACATTCAATTAAATCATCATGCACACTTCAAATAATGAAAGGGCATACTATTGCTTTTTACACAAACTTTAACTTTAAGCACACCACAAAAAACTATATCACAAAAGCAACTCAGCACTAAAACATGGGAGTCAAGGTCACAGATCCTCAGTATATCCCCCCTACACTGAACCAAAGGGAGTAGATTGTTGATGTGCATCATCCCCACTGAGCTCACTCATAATTGGGTGTCTCCGATGTGCCAGATGGATGAATGAACTGAAGGATGGAGACCTAACTATGGCTGCCCTTTCTCAATTTCATTACTGTGGGGTGGGGGAGTAACATGATCAGAATGTCATTTGCAATCTTGGGAAGAATAATTGCAAACGTGCTGCGATAACCTTTGATATGACTAACTTGATTGCAAAGCAAATTACTCTGCAGAAAGAAAAAAATCAATCAATGTTGGATAGATTCAAAGTTTGATTAAGCAAAATAGGTTAATAATGTGCTCGCTAAGACGTGGTCTGGATTTTAACTAAAAAGAAAGCCCACTAGAACGTTTTTGGTGAAAATAAAAATAAATCGGGGCATAAAATTACAAACAAGTGGGTATTACATTTATTGACATAACAATCATGAGACATTTGCAAAGGGAAAGTAGAAGAAATACTGATCCAGGCAAGTGTAGCCTACAGGTGTGGCTTAATGGATGGTCTGCTGGTCACAATCCTCATGACATGACAGGCTAACCTCCCAGTTACCCGACACAACAACCACAAGCAGATTATGACTTTCCATCGGGCCTACCCTCCTCATTTACAGAGCTACATGCTGCTGGCTGCATTGAGATTAGTTATTGAACTGTTGAAGCAAAGGGGAACAAGGCCGCTTCAGAAGCACAGCACACAATGAGGCAGCTGTCAGAGGGAGGGGCTTCAGAGACCGCTGTTGTTATGGATAGGACTTTTTTGTGTTGTGGGATAGGTGCTCCTGTCATGCTCTAATTAATATTGACACAAGGCTTGAGGCTTGGTGGAGGATAGAGCATAAACAGGGATTATTACACAGAGAAATTACCACAGAGGTAAAGAGAATAATCTGAATATCCATGAGGTGAAACAGTATGCAAAATGTGCAAGTAGCCCTCTCCGATATTGACATAATGATTAGGCAAAATAATATGGAACAAATAATATAACCTAATGTTCTATCGTTAAGATTACGCAATAATGGGTAGAGCTAAAAAACACAACAAAAGTGTTGAGAATTCTGCTACATTTGATTGGGCTGTGCTCATGTTGCTATTGTGTAACAACTGAAGGGTAACTGACCTTTACAAACCCCTCTCTAGCCCCCTGAGGCTGCGTTCAACACCCCCACCCCTGTTTTATATTCAGGTGCATCTCTGAGCATCTTCTCAGCAGCATCAGAGCCAATGTCCTTGCAAGTTGTGTCAAGTTAGACAATAACTGTGTCATTTTATGCTGCTGCACTGAATGATATACAGTGGGGCAAAAAAGTATTTAGTCAGCCACCAATTGTGCAAGTTCTCCCACTTAAAAAGATGAGAGAGGCCTGTAATTGTCATCCTAGGTATACCTCAACTATGAGAGACAAAATGAGAAGAAAAAAAAATCCAGAAAATCACATTGTCTGATTTTTAAAGACTTTATTTGCAAATTATGGTGGAAAATAAGTATTTGGTCAATAACAAAAGTTAATCTCAATACTTTGTTACATACCCTTTGTTGGCAATGACAAAGGTCAAACGTTTTCTTTAAGTCTCCACAAGGTTTTCACACACTGTTGCTGGTATTTTGGCCCATTCCTCCATGCAGATCTCCTCTAGAGCAGTGATGTTTTGGGGCTGTCGCTGGGCAACACAGACTTTCAACTCCCTCCAAAGATTTTCTATGGGGTTGAGATCTGGAGACTGGCTAGGCCACTCCAGGACCTTGAAATGCTTCTTACGAAGCCACTTGTTCGTTGCCCGGGCGGTGTGTTTGGGATCATTGTCATGCTGAAAGACCCAGCCACGTTTCATCTTCAATGCCCTTGCTGATGGAAGGAGGTTGTTACTCAACATCTCACGATACATGGCCCCATTCATTCTTTCCTTTACACGGATCAGTCGTCCTGGTCCCTTTGCAGAAAAACAGCCCCAAAGCATGATGTTTCCACCCCCATGTTTCACAGTAGGTATGGTGTTCTTTGGATGCAACTCAGCATTCTTTCTCCTCCAAACACGTCTAGTTGAGTTTTTACCAAAAAGTTCTATTTTGGTTTCATCTGACCATATGACATTCTCCCAATCCTCTTCTGGATCATCTAAATGCTCTCTAGCAAACTTCAGACGGGCCTGGACATGTACTGGCTTAAGCAGGGGGACACGTCTGGCACTGTAGGATTTGAGTCCCTGGCGGCGTAGTGTGTTACTGATGGTAGCCTTTGTTACTTTGGTCCCAGCTCTCTGCAGGTCATTGACGAGGTCCCCCCGTGTGGTTCTGGGATCTTTGCTCACCGTTCTTGTGATCATTTTGACCCCACGGGGGGAGATCTTGCGTGGAGCCCCAGATCGAGGGAGATTATCAGTGGTCTTGTATGTCTTCCATTTTCTAATAATTGCTCCCACAGTTGATTTCTTCACACCAAGCTGCTTACCTATTGCAGATTCAGTCTTCCCAGCCTGGTGCAGGTCTACAATTTTGTTTCTGGTGTCCTTTGACAGCTCTTTGGTCTTGGCCATAGTGGAGTTTGGAGTGTGACTGTTTGAGGTTGTGGACAGGTGTCTTTTATACTGATAACGAGTTCAAACAGGTGCCATTAATACAGTTAACAAGTGGAGGACAGAGGAGGCTCTTAAAGAAGAAGTTACAGGTCTGTGAGAGGCAGAAATCTTGTTTGTTTGTTGGTGACCAAATACTTATTTTCCACCATAATTTGCAAATAAATTCTTTAAAAATCAGACAATGTGATTTTCTGGATTTTGTCTCTCATAGATTTTTGCTCACCGTTCTTGTGATCATTTTGACCCCATGGGGTGAGATCTTGCGTGGAGCCCCAGATCGAGGGAGATTATCAGTGGTCTTTTATGTCTTCCATTTTCTAATAATTGCTCCCACAGTTGATTTCTTCACACCAAGCTGCTTACCTATTGCAGATTCGGTCTTCCCAGCCTGGTGCAGGTCTACAATTTTGTTTCTGGTGTGCAATAGGTAAGCAGCTTGGTGTGAAGAAATCAACTGTGGGAGCAATTATNGTAATCAACACCAATTATTCTCCAACCGCTCCTTTGTTTACTACGGTTCATAACAGCAGGATTGGCACACAGACTGAATTAAGTGTTTTTTTAAGATCCATCACAAAAATATATAATCTTGAAAGAGCAACCATGCTGGATTTAAAGGTCTTTGTGAACTCAGACTCTCTGGTAATCAAACTGTCACTGCTATGTGATCAGTGGTCAGGCTGTCTGTGTTGCTGACAGATAAGTGCTGTGGTGTGACTCTCAGGGCTTCCTGGTTGTTAGGGGGACTCGTATGAAATGAGAGATATGTCTTAACTGATGGCTAAACGGGGGACACTCCTCACATGTAAGACCAGGGCACAAACACCAAGACCAAGTTGAAAACCAATTTATTCTTCATTTCTTTGTATAATCAAAGACAAATGTTTGTGTCCAGCTAAACGTCTAATTCCTTATTGCTAGAGGTGGACACTGAGGACAATATTTAGCATGTTAGAATGGAAACGAGGCTCAGGATGTGGAGTCATAATGAGATCCTGGAATCTAAAATGTAATTACAACCTGACCGAGCGCTTGTATTAGGATGCAGCTCAGCGTTCCCAGCGCCATTATGCACAATTAAATATTGTAGGTCGAGTTAAGGTCAAGGTGAGGTTTCTGATCGGCCTACAAAATGAACGACTGGCTTAAAATGATGTTCAAATAAGTTAAAAAAGAGATCTTAATATGGTGGATAGTACTCTCTTTTCAGTCTGACTAAATGACTTGTATAATACTTAATAACAAGATGGGGAAAACTGCAGGGTGGATTGTAGCGGAGGATCAGAAGACACACATTAGCTCTCATTGCAGGTTGGTAGATATTGGAGTTTAAATCTGACAGAGAGCATCAGGTAGCTCCTGCTGGGTTATTGTTTGCTTGAACAAATATTGGCACCTTTCCTGTTCTTTCTGCTTGCCTGAGACAGTGCGGAACAAAGTGAGGATGAAATCTGTGGCACTGAAGCCAAGAGCTGAGTCACCTCTGCAGGCTGAGGAGCGCAGTCACAGTCTGAGGCTGAGATGCTGTCAAATGCCCTCAGTGGGCTCACACAACCCTTCAGTATCACTGCCACACCCGCTCGGCCTTCACTGTCCAAGCTCTTTCCAGCAATGGGCCTGCATTAAGTGATCCCATTGCAGTTTGCCTGGGGCAGCGAGTCTCACTGAACAGACTTGGATCCACTTCTTCACCCGGCTGAGCGTGCACAGGCCGAGGCATTCAAAGCATAGATTACTCTGGTCAGAGGCGGGAATGAGGTCAGCACAGCAGGGGGGGGCCTTCTAGATGCAGCTGAGCATCCACTGGAGCTTTTCTATGGGTAGTTCAAAGTCTGGTTGAGTAGATTGGAAACATCAACAATGGATAGCCGTGGCTGTCGCAGCAGTCACTGTTTTCTGCAGAATCAGAGGCTGGCACCAAAAAAATTAAGGGAATTATGCTGCATAGTGAGGGCAGTAAGCCTCTAGAGAGGAGCGCACACATTTGGCCCATTAGAGGCAGCAATAAGCGTTCTGGAGAGTAACACGGAATATCCCAGAAAAATCCCAGAGCAAAGTAAAGAAAGATTTACTGTAGTATATTTTGAGATGTATATCACAGAGAGGCTGTGAGGTTCAAGGCGCTGAATTAAAGCCACATTATATTGCAACTTACCTGTTAAATTATCACGATGTTAGATGTATGAGAATCATAAAGAAGTATATCTTTGAGTTGAGAGATTCTCCAATAAAATGTGGCAGGGATTTGAGCACCGATTGGGATGATTTGTACTCTAAATGTTTTCCTATAAAAACCAGACAGTCTAGGGAGGGAGAGATATGCAGCGCAGCGATAAAACTCATAGAAAGTAACCTCCCACTTAAAGGGAAATCTTCAATAAACAAGATTTAGATTCCTTTAAAACTGAGCGTTTTGATTCTTATTTACTGACACATCAATTGTCAGATACCCAATTAATGGTATTGTCCAGCTTCGTGACAGGAATCAAATGAATTATTTAGGGTTATAACCAACACTAACCGAATAAGCTTGGATATGAAAGAACTCACCAGAGTGTTTGCTGCGATGTACCCATGTGCCGACTTGTCTGAAAAAAGAGAAATTATTTGTAATCTTTTGTATTAGACATCAAATACATTTAGAATTGAAACTGGTGATTGTTATTTTATCTGTTTTTCTTAAGCTGCTTACCTCCCGATGTGAAGCTCATGTACTTCTGGTTGTTGACGGTTTCTTTGGAGTCGTAGAACTTCAGGACGTCCAGCACGGCCTGCGGGTTCTTCTTCTGCTCCAGTTTGGTGATGTTCGAGGTCTGCAGGAGCCGGGCCCATTGCTCCGGGATACCCTGCACCATTAGAGTTCAAACATTAAAAGTTATAATATCTTAACAACAATATATACATTTCTTCTTGAGGAAAAGATGTAGGATGTTAAAAGGCCTTCGATCACAGCAAGAAACTGTTGACAGCAACGGAGTCCCCTTTTATAGGATCCAAAGATATACATTTTTCGAGTTTTCTTGAAGTTACTATCTGAGGAACAATCAATTAAATGAATGATATGACATTTTGGGGAAATAAGCATGTTCTTAAGCTCTTTTAGTTCAGCAAAAGACTTGAAGCAGTGGTAAACCATAACTTATCGTAGGCAGATGTTGTTTGTGTAGAGGTTTTACTGTGCTTTGTAATGCTAAGCTAACAGGCTAGAGCTTCATACAGTATATGATTAAAATGTAGTGTCTGGCTTTTCATTTAACTCTCAATGCAAAAGTGTATTCCCCATAATTTCGCAATTATCTTTGAAGGCTTTTCCACTCTCTTTTTATGGCCTGCCTGTTTTAATGCCCACTGGCTGAATGTAGCTGAACGATGGGTTTCATTCATGCTAGCTTTGTAAACGTGGATATTTTTATACACACATCTTATCAGCAGCTTATCACCAATAATATAGTGTATCCTCACAGAAAACCATGACAACGGGAATCAAAGTGTTGTGGTTTGAACTGTCTTAAAGGGTGCTGTGCGTCATAAGCAAATAGCGTATCAAATGAACAAGGAACTTTTTGAAACTGATGTCATGGACAAGTTGAAGTCAAATAGGGCAGAACACAGATCACTGCTCCTGAATTGGTTTTAAGTCTTGTAATTTTTCTCAGTTATTTTATGAAAATAATAATTATTCCTGTCAGTTCTATAACAAACATAACTTTAGTGTTTTAGAATAGTCCTGGTGTTGTATTACGGTTCCTTTATTTAGCTATAAAGCATATTTCCATAACCAAAATATGTTACTTAACAGTAAATAAATAAACATAGTTATCATTTACATTTATAAGTTTGCAAAAATCAATCATTAAAAATTATACATTCAAATTAATGAAACTCATTTATAAGAAGAAATGATTAAATTAAAGCTACAATAAACATCTCTTTGGAATCAAAAAGTAAACAATAAAAGCTTTATGAGATTTGTTTTAGGGCTGTTGCATTGATTTTTTTTTTTAAAAAGAGATGACTGAGTGCAATAGTCCTTATATATAACTTTGAGTGCTTAATTTTTGGTGTTTATTATAAAGAATAATAAACACAGGCTACATCTGCTCCCTGATCTCACGATGAATTGTAAGTGGCTACTGCCTGAGACCACATGCTGTAGTTTTATTAAATGTGCCAACTGCTAGGACTGTCTGAGGGAAGATAGCATTTAGATGTGCAGCTCCACTGTCTTGGAATAGTCTGCAATCAAAATGGAAACTGAGCAATCTGATGCCACTAAATGTTTTTAAAGCTCGGTTGGATGCTACTCAATCGGAAGCTGTTGGTACCTGTTCATGTGGATAGTTATGTAAATTGTAATCCCTGTAATGATGCTGTATGATGTCCTTTTGTTGTTCTGTATGTTTTTATGTTTCATGTGGAACCTACTTGAGCAGGTCTCCCTTGAAAAAGAGATCAATGATCTCAATGGGATACACCTGGATAAATAAAGGTTTGAAATGAAATGAAATGAAAGAAGACAAATACATTCTCTAAATAAAAGGGAAAAAACATGAACTAATGAAGTGTAAAGAATATTAAACCGGCAATAAAAGAAGAAGGTGTCATTACATATCCAGGTCTTTATGATAATAACACATCGACTGCTAACAGAAACTGCAGCTAAATGTCATTTACCAATAAACTCTAAATGATTCCAGCGCAGGTTTCATCTGATGGGGGAGATGGAGCAATTGTTATTCAAGTCACTAGTCTTACCAACTTTATGTGGAGGAAATAAAATCATTATCTGACTTCATCACTTTAGGGAATTGTGATTTTAGAAATGCTTGCCTGCGGCTCTCAGACGGGAAGATTTTAGAAGCACGTCTTATGTCAGGAGAAAGAGACACTCACTGTGAATTCTCCCGTTATAGCATCAAAGCCAACATGAATGGTGTGTTCAAAGTCTGAGGGGAGGGATATCTCAGGACGCTCCTTCTCCTTCTTCTTGTTTGCTACAGGAAGTAAGCAAAGATTGATTACAGGCTGATTTCTAGTGAGTTAATGTACATTTTGTGTATCACTGCGAGGCGGGGGGGTGAGGGTGACGTGCGGGGGAGGATACTCACTCTTGTCTCCCCCGGGGAAGATGGAGCGCAGGCGGACTTTCTTGTTTTTCTCTTCAGGAGCCATTGGAAGCGGTTTAGTGGCGTGATTCAGTGAAGAGTCTCGGGAACTACTGTTCATTCTCAAGGGGGGGGCTGGTGGTTTCTCTTCAATATCAACACTATCAGACATCTTTAGAAGCACTCACAATGTCCTGTCAAAGAAAAAAAAAAGATGGAGGTTCAGTGTTAAAATACAAATTTGACGAATGTGAAGGTTACAACATCTCTCTTGATGCGCAAACATAACCTCGAATTTTAACTAAAACTTCCCAGTGTAAGAAATATATCAAGGGACTAACTGATTTTGTAAAAAGGTTGACTGACGCATATTGGGTGATGTCAAGCACACATTATAAAGTTGTTTTTCTCTGGTGAAATCATATTCTATAAAAAGTGGCTGAAAAGCCTTGACCTTGTCCAAAACCTGGAGATATTAAATCTTCAATGGGCCATTAATTTCCCTTTTTTTATGTAGTTTTTGTCTGATCAATGATTTTTGTTCAGCTTTAAACCAGTTTGTAAGCAACACTTTAGCTGGTGCTGTACAAAGACTGAATATATGTATATTTTTCTGCATTTTACAATAAGGAATCCTTTATGAGTGACCCTGGCTAACATGTCTTATACTTTGAACATATTTAGATTTAGTAAAAGACCAAACTCTGGAGTCTGATGTCCAGTGGGTCTGTTCAGATGTGAAAACAGTAACCAGGAGTTGATTCTAAGAGAAACTGGCAAGAGTAAACGTCCCCATCACTCATCCTCTCTTCTTCCATCCATCCATCTTAAACTCCTTCACTGACTCGCCCCGAGGCCAAGCCCATCATGTGATGCGCAGCACAACTGTCCCAGAAAGCGGGCCATGCAGCCGCCCCCTCAGTGGAGACCTACATTAGCAAACAAAGGCCCTCCTCGGTTCTTACACGGCACTCACTGCCTCCGACAAATTACACATGTGCATCTGCAACCGTGGCTTTTACAGTTTTATATAACTATCTTCCTGTGAGAGACAACATCTGGGTGGTCTGCTTGTTAAGTTCACAACATATCTGTTTCTGTATAATAGATGAGCAAAATAATGGTTTATTGATTATAATAACTGTGATTAAATCAGCCTCCAGTAATAGTTTTATTAAGTGAGATGATGTCTTCCTTTGGAACTTATTTGTCAGTAATGTGATCTTTCTAGCTTTGACAGGACAAACAGAAATGTATGACTTATTATTACCTTAATCGCTATCTAATTTGAGACCTCTGACTTGATACAAGTTTATAAACCAATAACATGTCACAATATTTCCTTAATTGCTTCTAGATAAAGCCAGGGTTATGTTCGAAGAACTTGATCTAATCAGCATATTTCAATATGTCAAAAACTATGAATGAATGCAATAACAAAACGAAATATTTAATTAAATTAATTAAATATTTCGTTTTGTTATTGCATTCATTTGTATAGTACTGTATCATGTCTGTATCATCTTTTGTTTCATTTGTATTATCTTTGGTTTTACACGCTCGAAAAAAATAAATAAACTAAACTAAACTATATTTAATAAAATCTTTGGACAACAATACAATGTTTTACTTTTTTGACAAAGACAACACGATACGATATCTAAATCATTAAATACAAAGACCAGTGTTTGATTGAGAAGTCATTCACCCAATTAACGTACAGACACGCTAAAACATTTAAAAAAAATAACCCTTGTGATTTTTGTGAGTCGGGAACTTCAAAATAAGGGCGTATCAGTTTCTCATCTCATCCAACAGTTATTATTCCCCTGGATGACATTAACTATTAATGTGTGATTGTGTAATCATGCTGATGTTCTTTTAATTCAAACAACACTACAAATAGCTGCCAATAATTATTATGTGAACAACATCTGACATTGGTCTGAGATAAAAGACATACAAGTTAACACAATCTTGATGCTTCATAATGAACTGGACACTGTTTCCTGCTCCCCTGACTGTCTGAGAAGAATAACAATGTTGCCTCACTGGGCAAGTGTGTTGCAGAAACTGCATTGTTAAAATTGGAAAAAAGTTTATGATCAGTGCAGGAAATAATTTGATAGATAGCAACCAGTACTTTGCAGGATTTTTAATATCAGAGCTCGCTGTGGATGTATTTACATTTTTAATTCAACAAATGGTGGACAGAAACTACAGACTGAAAAAGCGAGAGGGCGGCATCAAGTGTGAACTTTTCAAGACAGATTAATGACAAGGTGACATACTGGAGGACTATTAAAAGTTGCACGTTGATTCATCTTAGCTGGAGGGCACACACTGATTTTAAATAACAAAACAGCTACATAGACACATGTTGTGTTCTGAATGTAGGAGATATGATTATTATCCTGTATTTACACTGGTGGTGGGTGGGGGTGCCTACTGGCAGTTTCTACCGTGTTGGACCTGTTCCAGGTGAGAGTCCAGACAACAGCAGCAAACAGGTTTCTTAGACTGGAGGTTAGGCGTGTCACTAACAACAAAACCCAGTGAAACAGCTGTTAAAAAGCACTGTCACTATGATTGCAGGGACTTGGCGACATCATGGCTGTCATAAGAACTGAGCTGCAGGAAGCTTTAAAGACAGTGAAGAAGACACAGTGCAGTATGTGCCACATGACATTTAAACATGGAGTCAAATGTCAGCATACTTCATAATAATAAACATAATAATACATATAATAAACGTTATTCAAACAGTACATTTTGCATTAAAAGTTCAATTAAATAAAAAGTTTTGTGAGGATATACTGAATACAATGATCACATACATGTATACACCATGTCTCCCGTTTGTTTTCCATCACACACACACACACACACACACACACACACACACACACACACACACACACACACACACACACACACACAAACTCTGCCCTGTCCAGACTAATACAGCTGTGAATCCAAGCCTATAAATAATCTTTTGAACACATGTGCACTTTCATATAGTCACGTACAGAAGTGAACCCACTAGCATATGCACGTGGCAAAGACATGACAACAGAAACTGGGATCTAATCAATCAGGTCAGCAAACACAGAGGAGGAAAATCAATGGCTGCTGCGGCACCAGATGATGACGAGGAAACAGGACGTTGTGAAGTGTTTCAAAATATAATGTTATTTTCTAGGGCGAATAATATGTTCTCCTTGCAAGTACAGACTTATCTAAAACAGTAAAGGTAAAGCTCATAAATATAATGATTCCAGTCTGCCTTTGGAGAGCAGCGTGGATGAATTATGTAGCTGAAAAAACTAAATATTCAGTGCCTGACTGTGGTCATTTCTATATCAGGAAGTGGCGAGAATTTGTGCCAGTTGAAGACATTTTAATACGTCACAAGCTGTGGTCGTCACTGGTGTGGTTATCAGGCTGGATCACCTGCAGCAGCTCTGCAGAGCAGCAGGCAGTTAGAGATGGCAAATTCACGGAGGCCCAGGCATGACTTGGTTCTTCACTCACATAAAACGCTGACCTATGTACTGTGCAGACTTACTGACAGACAAACAAGCATTCAGTGAGTGCCCCTGAAACAAGAAGCTCCTATTTCTGAAGCACACATAGGCTAGTCCCTAAACATCATAAATCAACTCTAAAGCAAGCCGGAGTATTTCAGAAGCGAGGAATCGCTAAGAGACCTATTTGGGTAAAAAATACGCTTTAGCACGGAATCACAACATGAGAAGTGGTCACAAATGATAACCCCAAACCTCATTCTGCTTCACTTGAGTTTTGACAGAGACACATGTACAAGCTTCTGAAACAACACACACAAAGCCACCACAGACACACCGGCTCAATCACGCATTACTGCCGATGTTTTCACATTTCTGTGCCATAAAATATTAATCTATCCATGAAGAGCAGGAATTTTCCTTTTCTCTTTCAAACATTAATGCAGAATTTGAATGGCTAATGCAGGAAGAGGCTCTAATCTGAGGCCATGCTGCCCAGTAATGGGGGGGGGCTCCGTAAGCCCGGCTCTTCATGGCCCTGATTAGGACACACTCTCTGTTTGAGTTGGCTTTAGCTTTGGCTGTGCTCCTTTGAAGGATGCTGATTACTTGGATGGGATGGACAGCTAGAGGACGTTCAAAAGGATAAGGAGGAAGGAGGGGTGCTCCAGAGCTGCAGTAGACGTTATTATTTCCTTTATTTTTGGTGCTGTCCACACACACACTGGTCAGAGAGTTCGCTCCACTGTTAACAGGAGAAACCTGACACCCGTCATATAACAGACACTTCAACCAGACATTATAGCACTGGAAACTGACGACACACAGATGTCAAAATTTTACTGCACACTCACTCCTCCCTCACATGGTTGGCCTCTCAAGGTCAGAACAAAACACAAACGGTGCAGATGACATCCCCCCCCTTCAATTTTAAATGAAGGTTGGGGGAGGAGGACTGGTGTTAAAGTTCAATTCTGTTTAAAAGGACGCCATTTCAAAGGGGTCAGAATGTATGGTCACAAGATCAAAACCTCATGAGGTCGAACATGCCCCAGCATCAGCAAGGAAATCAGTTTAAAGTAAAGCTCAACATAAGGCAGCATTGTCCTTTTGGCTGAAGAACACCATTTTATGTGACACCTGGTGTATGATGTTATTAGATTGATATTTTCATGAGGGTTCATCACTTCTTCAGGGGTTTGACTCCAGTCTCTCTGGGGCTTACGTTATATTGGATGTGTATCAGAGGTTTCGTCCGTCAGAATAGATGAATGTAATCCAGGCTTTTGCAGAATTGCCCAATATTAAAGTTGTTGTCTGGGGACAGGGTTTGGACTTTAAGTCTAAAAGGAGAAGTCTGACATTTTGGGGAATTCGCTGTCTTGCAGAGTGATGGTTAATATCGTAAACTTCATATAAAAAGTGGAGGTAGACACTTTGACCTGTTGGTTTATGAACTACTGTCGAACCAGCAATGACACAAGAGTGTGGAAGTAAGTACAACCGAACGCTCAACAAGACAACTACAATAGTACAATTACTTTAATGAACTGAAAACAACAAAGCATACCCTGCTTTACTGGGTATTTGACTCTAAATCGGATCATTGTGTACAAAAATAATATAATGTTGTATTGAAGAAGACTTGAAAATAGTGATTGAGACCA